AGTAAGTGGTCGAAAATCTCATTAGTGTTAAGGAATGATGATTATCAGGATTACTAACGACGTATTTGCATTAAGGCCCGTATTGTAAACCTTCACTCAAGACGCATTCTTAAGTTTCAAGCTGTTTGATTGATTGAAAGCGTTTAGATAATTTCATACGGGCCAAATTCATTCAGCATTTTACTCACGTAAACAGCATCGTGACGTTTAAATCTGCAGAGCTTTTTAAACGAGTGCCAAGAATACAATTCCAAAAACATTCAGTTTACCATTTCTGATTATGTGAACAAGAAATATAACTCTCAATTCCCCCAAAAATTAACCCTGGACCCTCAGTAAAGCACGTGGGAGTACTTCATCAAAAAATCCGTCGTTGAGCAATTAAATTCACTCGACGCAACACCAAGTCATTCTGGCCGAGTTCCCTTGCAATTTTTTACGTGTTTCCTCACAAAAAAATAAACTCCAGACGAAAACAAATCATCCTTTGTGAGCCTCCTTTTGTCGCCTGTCCCGAAAATGTTACCGAGTGGGATCTTAATTAAGAAACTGGGAGATTCAGTTAAAGTGTACCTCATTTTGTTATGGTAATGTTGGACCTTTTTGATTTTTGAGGGCAGAATGAGAATAACCGCGAGGTCATTTTTTATTTTTGAAGTAGTCGGATATTTTCATTCGGCTTTTTATATTTGTTTTATGTTATGTTGATCATAGCAGAGTATTTAATAAATAAAAAGTACAGAAGAACTGTGTAATTTTCGGTGAAATATCTCAGAAGCAATTGAAAATATTGACTCCCGAACTTCACATGCGTTTTAATAAAAATATTTGCTTAGTAACAATTCTCACTAATTAATATTTTCGACCCTTTTAAACACGTTTTTATTTCACATCGTGTCGATCAAAATCCTTAACCCAAAACTGTGTCACACAAGTCCACTCTCCCCTCTTGTCGGCCTTCCTGTTGGTATAAGTAGGTTACACGTCCCCTTTATTTTGTATATAAGAAACAAAGTCAGTTAGATGTCAATGACCTTTTGACATTGCTTATTGTCATGCTATAACCCATTGTCTGCACGAAGGAAGGGACTTCAATGTTCACATCAAGATAAGTAACTGTGAAATGTATATAAATGTGAACGTTGAGTAGCTAGAACTTATTTGTATAATGTAAAGATTTCAGTCATTTGTTTTTTATGTACCTCTAGTGTACTTGACAAAAAACTTATCATTTCTGTAAAACTCTTGGCACATCAGTTAAACTAAGATAAATATAAGGTAAAGGGAGCAATCATGAATTTGAATGACCCTATATCCAATTTCAGATTATTAGATGAAAAATATCTTCAAAACCAGCCTTCCCGTTAAGAGTTTACTGACACAAACCTACTAAACATTGGAAATGCAAATGAAACATTTCTATTCTAACATCTAACTTGCACACTGTACTTAACTGTGAACAAGAGTATAACAAGTTCTTAAACAATACAAGATGGCTGCACCACCGAGTACGTAATGGATTTGTTAATTGTTGAGCTCGCGATTACGTTGAGATGACGTGTGTGCATCTGTTACTGCAAATGTACTAATTGCCAAAGGAGCTGATGAGACACTTTAGAGGCGCACTGTCTTATTATCAGAATTGTTATCCTCAAAGGATTTAATGAAGATATCATGTAATATCATGATAAAGGTGTAGGTATTAATTTTTAGTACTCATGCGATTAATGGAATATTGTGAGTAATTTGTTAGTAATACATCACTACATAGTATAAAACAAAGTCGCTATCCACCGTCTGTTTGTCCGTATGTATGCTTAGATCTTTAAAAGTACGCAACGGATTTTCGTGCGATTTTTTTTAGTAGATTGAGTGGTTCTTAAGGATTATATGTATAATACATGCATATTGCACCCGTGCGAAGCCGGGGCGGGTTGCTAGTTATTAATAAGCCGTAGATTAACAGTGGGATGTTGCAGTTTATGACGATGAAGTATATAAATACAAGAAACATTGAATATGTTTGTATATTATAAGTAGGTACAATAGTACAAGTATAAAAGCAAAGTCTTCAATTTCACGAAAAAGAAATTACGTGTCCAAAAAGGAAATATTAAAAAATGACAATTGCATTCTGTTATTTTAAATTCGCAAACTCAGAGCACAATATCGGGGAATATTCAAAAGAGAGTCTTGAACGGAATTGCCAAATCATTGCATACTTGGCCAACGTCGAGTTTAGCACGGACAGGGACACTATTGGATTCTTCAAATGTAGATATTTTTGGCTTCATATTTTAAATTAGCTTCGCGTATTGCGAAATTTTCTTTTACAATTTTAGTTATTTTGTCTATTTGAAGTAGATTGCAAGAAACCGAAGACCCAATTACCCTGTCCCTTCCCCAATCTCCCCAATTCCTGAATCCCAAACGATCCTCAAACTCCTAATCCTCAAAAAGCCGGTAACGTACTTGTAACGCCTCTGGTGTTCCTGGTGTCTATGGGCGACGCCGATTGCTTACTATCAGGTGATCTTTATCCTCGTTTACCGGCTTATGCCATAAAAAAATAGATAATATAATCATTTTTATAACACTATTTATAAAAAATCAAGAAAGCGTTGAGTTAATTTTTACAGGCATTTATTTACAACAAGTTTGTGAATTTATCATATTTGATCAAATGTATTTAATTTATCATTGCATTATCATTCAAAAATGACTCGTAAGTTCAAATGCATTTCAAAGGTAAATGTTTGGGGTATTTTTGGACAATGCTATGAATCCTGTCCAGCGAGCAGTTGTATTTCACTCCTATTGTACGTAAACTTTTTTTATTTGAACCGCTTGTGTTTTGAGCCTTTGATATTACTTTCAAAAGTTCTTTGACAGACAGCAAAGCGACACTTTACAAAACACAAATACGAAAATTCAAGCAAATAAAATTTTGTAAACGAATAGCTACTGACTCTGCATTTTCTTTTGACATAGAACGATTTACAAAAGACTTTAAATTAAATATATACAACTTAAAATATTAATAACTAAAATATTTACACCTTAAAAAGTAATAATAATAGTTATGATTTTTAAACTAGTGCGGGGCAACGTTTTTATTAATAAAAAAAATCAATAATTTTCATGTGCATACTGAATAAGTGTCTAACTACGCTACAACCTAACATATTCTAAGGCTACCTGAGTAAACGTTACATCAGGATCAAGAAATCCACTGCCTGTATGTGATCTTTATCAAGGAGGCATTTACTTTAGTAAAATATCGACATTAAGTCACATTACTTTTCCATAAGACACCGGTAATTATGTCTTCTTTTTAATTACATTTATCAAACACGTTCATCGTTGTTTTAAGTGATTAATTCTACTATTACTTAAACAGTTGTTATAAAAACCAAAGTTGGAGAATCAACTTACATCTGATGGCCGTTCGTAGACAATGCTTCGAGAAAGTTCTGAATAGTTGCTCTAGCGGAAAAAATGCACTCAGTGCTGTTCTTTCTATCTTTGACCTACTTCGAGCTCAAGTGAAGTTGTTCAATATCAGTCATTTGTACTGTCGCTTTGATTTCAGAATTCTAAACGAAAACAAAATTTAGGAAAGGTCGTAATTATGAAACACAAATATCCTTCGTTCCCTTCTCATCAATATACATAAAGTGCTTATCTGTCATAACGAAGGGCTGGTTTCCCTTCATAAAAAACATAATTAAAAACATTACGACGAGGGAATTTTATAAACAGCCATTTTTCCCAATTACCTTGACTATGAAACCGAAATATTTGCTTTGATGTCGCGCCGGAGATAACCCGTTGATTAAAAATTATGATAAAAACTTTTCTTCGTCCCTGCAATGTCCCAGTGTGGAGGGTTAACGAAATTGATTTTTAAATAGTTTATACTTTGGAAATTCAAGGAAAAATTTCACTAGAATGATATACACGGAGAGTTTTAATACGAAACTGAAACTAAAATATTTCTGTAGCGTTTTTCGATTCAAAATTTTTGTGATCGAAGTTGGTAGGTATCAAGAATTTTTACACTACGGACTTGTATAACTAAAAAAAGTATTCAACATAGTTTTATTCGGTTTTCATCAAAAGGCAGAGCCGCATATGGAAAAGTTTTTAGTGTACCAGTTTATTAGGTGTGATCCTAGAGTTTAGAATTTTATATGAGTTAAAACTGAATTAAAAAAAGGATCATTATTTATTACGAAAGTATTTTCGACACATTTTATCTTACTTTTGTATAAAAATATTGCTTTTAGATGATTTTTACAAACCATACTAGAAATATCACAGTGCGAAACACACATTTTGAGTTAATATAAAAAAAAACAAAACAAATTGAGAATCCAAAATGTTGGTCAATCCATTCTCATCCAAAGTTGAGTGAAGGGTGACTGTATATGACCCTAAAAAGGGACGAGAAAAAATTGAGATTTGACCAAAATGAAAGTACAAAGGGTGCGATATTTTGTATGTTGTTATAGAGGTATTATGTAGCTTTATAACTGGCTTTATATTTATAAGCAGGGTTTATAACGTGTTATCCACTTAATCTGTATACATGTGTTCAGATTAAATTGTTTTTTGGTTGTAATAAAAATTTTAATGTTTTTGTTTGGTGTAATCTTTTTTATAAAAGTAATTTAATAAGCACTCCATTTTTCTTTTTGAATAGCAACCAATCGTATCTATCATTTAGTTATGGTGATGGTCTTGTCTATTCCGTAATGTTGTAGAATACATGTATTTGAAAAGTCAACGTCAAAGCATTTATTGTAAATAATCGTTGATTAGACACTTTTGAAACGTCAAATTGATTATTGGTGAAGCTAGTTGCTCGTTCGAAAGTGTCTTTTTGAATGGAAAAAAAAAACGAGCAATAAACTCCATTGTTCCTTTTTCAAATTTTTTTTTTATTTTACAATCGCACTTATATGTCCCGTGATCCTTATGAAAAAAATAAAACTCACCATCCAACTCATATCCTTGGCCACCCCACTGTGGCAAATCCTGAGAGTAATTCTTGGGGTCACTGCGACTTCCTATAGAGATCTTGAGACTCTTCCACAACTTCATCTTGACAACATATTTGTACACAACACTGAACACTATTCAGTACAACACGTCACTGAAACATTTTGTCACACAACACTGTCACTCCAATCCGGATTATCTGAAACAAAAGAATAGTTCGTCACATTTTGTTCATTGTTTTTGGAGAAATGAACAGAAGAATATAGAAACATCGAAACTTACAAACTAATGCACTTCGTAAATTAATATGGACAAGGAAAAATATTATAATAAAAATTCATAGGGCTAAGGGAAAATGTTATAAGAAGCAATTTCATTATTTTGGTATTTATTGTATATCTATATGTTTCGATTATATTATTATTTTATAAAATATTAAATTAATATTTTACGCGAGTAGACATGAACGCAAGACTAGCATAGACCGAGGACGCGATAATACTGAACTGTAGAAAATCACCGTTTTGAACGCCGACGCCGGGGCTCCGGCTCGAAGTGCAAGATTAGGAGTAGAACGGGGTGGTTTCTAATCAGTAAGAGTCTGACACTCCCTCCGAGTAATTCGATGATTATACCCTCTTAAAAAAATGCCCTGCCGGGTCAGAGCGCAGGATTTTTTTTTATGGAATAGAGGCAAACGAGCAGGCGGATCACTCGGTGGTATGCGATCAGTGCCACCCATGGACACCCGCAACACCAGAGTAGTCACAGGTGCATTGCCGGCCTTTTAAAAAGGAATACGCTCTTTTCTTGAAGGTTTGAAGGTCGTATCGATTCGGAAATTCCGCCGACGACAGATCATTTCACATTTTATATAATGAAGTCTAATTTCAATTATTTTATTAAGTGTTTATTTTATTTAAAAATAAAAATGTAATTTATTCTCACCATGTAATATTTAACGTTTGATAAAAATAGAATTAGGTATATCAGAAAACAAAGCAAATCTACTTTTCAATCAAAATTGAGTCTAGAAAATAAGGGATGAACCTAATATAGCAACACCGTAAACTAGAAATGATCTTCCTACGTAAGTTACAAAATGTCAAGTCAGAGAAATGGGTCGTTTAACTACGTAGGCGAGTTCATACTTAACTGACAAGTTCTTAACGGATTATTATTATTAATGGAATAACAAAGTCACTATCAATCTCATTTTAGTCAGTTGGTAAAGTTATTTGAAGACCATTGACATAATCATCATCATCATCATCATCAACAGCCGAAAGACGTCCACTGCTAAACAAAGGCGTCCCCATGCATCCACTGGCAATCCCCGCAACTCTGGCGATGTCATCGGTCCACTTAGCGGGCGGCCTGCCCACGCTTCATCTTGCGGTCCGTGATCTATACTCAAAGATTTTCCTGTCCTATCTGCCCTCAGTCTGGCATAATATTTATAGTTATTATAGTTATAATTGAAATATAAAGATTTAAGTATGACTCTCTGACAGAAAATCTATGCAGCGACGCAATATGTTCTTCCTAAATATTGTAAAACTTTACTATGAAATCTTATACTGTACTAAAATAATGCCTATTCCAATTATGATCTCTCTATTAAATACCGATATTGATAAACAATTTCAATAAACAAATTGCATTCCGAATGCATAAATAGTAATTGTTTGGCCTGTCCAAAGACACGGGTCACTACAACCCGTCGATCAGACACGACACGGTTCCTTGAATACAATGGAGCACAAACATCTACTTTTTAATGGCTCTGACATACTTCCATGAATATAAAATGACTTTGTAAATAAATTATTCATAAATCAAAGCGTGATGAATGAATACATCGGGAATAAAGGTTATTTGGATAGAATCAAGGGCAGATTGTATTTCTGCGTCAACACGTTTATTAAGTAGCATGTTGAGAGTTAACATAAAATCACGCCTTTTACCTCCGAAATAGGTAGAAGTGCACATTACGACATTTAATTCCACTGAACAATGTAACACACACTTTTCACTATTTATGTTTTGAATCCCATGTAATAGGAGGTGAGTATTGAGAGTCACTGCTGGAAATTGTAAATTAGTTCATTTGCTTTAAAATAAAATCGGGCTACAGGTTTTGTCTCGTAACTGAATAAAATCGTAACAAAGAAAGTCACGCTGTGATGTAAAAATATTTACAGATCAATGAAAGAAAATACATAGTTTAAATTTTCAGAATGCTGCATAAGCTTCGTCTTTACTAAGTCCTAATAATTCGTAATACTTATACTATTGTTTTTCCTGAAAGGATTCAGAATCCACATCAACATGACATTTACCTAACAACAAATATGAGCATGTTATCATATAAGTTTTTTAATTTTCGATCGTAGGTATCGAACGACTGACAATCTAATCTCATGTACGGAAATTCATGAAGATTATTCGAACTTCAATAACTTTTGCTGTCAAATAAACGTACGTATTATAATTGACTATGGCTGCGTTCATTTTTTATGTATTTATGGGTAATCATACCCAATATGCTTTTTCTCGGAAATATTGAAGCTTTCTTTTTTATTTACCCCACTTTCAGTGACTTGCAAAATCGAACGGCTTGGAGATATGTAGGAGAGTAGTGTTGTGGGTGTTTTTATCGATAGTTCCTGCCTCTTGTTCTATTAATTGATTGTATCGTGTATTTTTGAAATAGGTGTTATTTGTCGTTAGTGTGTATCTACAATTTTCTACAATTATTATAAAATAAACATGAACAAGGTATTACGAACCATTTCCACCTATTAACACTACTATCTAATTGAGCGGACATTACAGCAGAAAATGATATATGGAATTACAAAACTAACAATTAATTGATATATGTTTACGACTTACTGACGTAACTCTGTTTAATGTCGCGACGCGGCAATTGCGCGACAGTCAACGCCTTGCGGGTCGTGGAATTCTGCTCATGAATATGAGCCCCTAGCTTGGCTTGAAACTAGTCGAGTTCATTGTTGGTCATTGTAAATTGAGTAAGCAGAAAACGTGATAATTAATTTAGTATATCATACAAAAGTTAAAATAATTTTAATACTGACAATATAATGATAAACGCATCAATGAAACAATAGCATAGTTATTGTTATGCTTGTTTTAAAAACAGTAATATTTAATCTTTAACAATGAAACTGAAAGGATCGATAATAAATAATATTTAGTCGATTATAACTTGAATCCCTATTCGTCCAAACTTATCCGAGTTGAACAAAGTAAAGTCAAAGATCAGCCGAGTGTAACAATGCAGAATCATAGTGATGTACGAAAATACTCCCCTACTTACGTTGCCAACGAGAAAACTGTTCAAATAACAATGATTTTGTATAGACCAAAATTATTAGTTACTGGCGACCCCGGATGGTTTTACACGGATGGAATGTTCTGGAAGATTCCAAATTAAAGGAGAAAATACTCTCATAGGGATTACGTTGTTCATATTTTAAGACCATAGTATAATGTGGTTTATTCTAAAATTATCTAGTAAAGGTAAAAAATAATTAGGATTTTTACCTTGGAAAAAATCTGTTTTTAGTAAACACTAAGTTCAGAAATTATCGCCCTCCCGCCTCACCCAGGCGGGAGCAGTCATTCGATGACTTTCCCCGCTTAAATAAAAAAGTTCAGAAATTACCAAATACGAATAAAGACTGGTCATGTTATAAAAAAAAATTGAACTTTATTCCATTAGTAGGCAGATTAAGTTTAGTCGATTTGGTTATAGCTTCTCGATAAGCACTTATGTACACAATATAGTAATCGATAAAATAATTTAAACTTCAGTGGATTCTGAAGCCTTTAAACTCCGAACTATGGAAACAGGAAGTCAACTATTAGTATAGAAATCGCTCATTATAAATTAAATTGTATACTTTTGAGGGTTTAATGTTTAATTAAAAACTTACTAAATACACCGTGAAAACTATTTTGTTTTCGTCCTGCTGCAAAACAACTTGCCGTGAGGAGAACTTTCGATGTTTACAGTAAAAACAAAAAAAAAATAAGGATGTCATTATTATATAGCTAAAAATTTTTTTGGTAATACGCACATCAAACACTAGACGTAAAGTAGTCACCATTCGCATTGCACGTGCGTGGCACGACCAGAAATACCTCTTCGAGAATTACATGGCGTGATGTTTTGATAACGTACTATGAGTTCGTATGTGTTTTCGCATCGCATCGCAAGTTTGTTTTTGGCAATGGTTCACCAGTTATTTTTTGTTTTAAACATCATTTCTTTGTAAAACTACTGTATTAACAAGACATAACCATTTTATTTCTAGACGAAAACATAAGTGTATAGTAATAATATAATATCATGGGGATCTTCGTACGATTTGTTATAACTAGGCGTACAATTTCTGTAAAAATCATTCATAATATATACTTATATCACGTTTTATTACAGGCTTTTATCATTTATACAATTTACTTTATTGTAACAAAAACATTAACGATTCCGCAAATCAGATTTAATAAAAGATCTTCCATTTTCTTTTACTTTCCTCTAATTGTGATGTTCCATTAAAATAATACAATTTACATTTGAATTTGCTTTCTCTCGTTAGTTTCGAGTCAGTCTAAATAATTGGTACCAATTTGTTTATAGATTTACTTGACGAAATATCTTTGATAAAAGCCTTTGTTTATATAGTTTTGTTTTAAATATTGTAGTTAATTAATAATAATGGTTTTTTATAATAATAAATCAGTGTCGTGAGATATACTAAATTAAATTTCGTATAAATCGCGGGTTACTGGAATCTACTTACGTAAATATACTGAGAAAAGCCCTACTAGTTTCGAACTACAGAGGGGTTCTTCCTCATGAGCAGCGTGAGCGGTCGCGGCGATATCGCGCAGCCTACGTAGGCGATTTTTAGTGTAAAGTAAATCAGATGGAAATGATTTTGTTTTAATTTAATACAAGACCTACGACAAGAAATATGTAAATTTACGTAGGTATATCAGAAAAAAATAAACAAAGAACATCTAAAACATCCTAAGCTTACATTATTTGGGGTGCGGTGCCAGAAGACCTCCCCGTGGTGCACCCTGGGTGCGGGCGACAGTCTCCCTAGCGGGGGTGATAGGGTTGGAGTGACTGTCGCCCGCAGCAGACTTCTGGACTGGGCG